ATATTGGATAGGGTTCTTCCACGTGGAATAAAAAATGCCCTGTTTTGAAAAGAAAATGAGTTTTCTAAAGACCATAAGGCCTCAAACTAAAAGTTGTACCATGACATGAGGAATTCCAGAACTGCAGAAGGGATTACCGGAGATGCTGATTACTTAGACATTAATGGACAGGCATTGAAGAGCAGCAAAGCCAGGTTTGAATCAAATGTGCGTGCTGGCGGGAAATGTGTGTGCAGCTGATGTTTGAGGGTGGCCTGTCTTGCTACTTTACTTTTTTTAAACTCATAACTCCTCCACTGATTTCTAGAAAGTTAATATTCTGGTTTAATGATAAAATACAGTGTCTCTTTTTCCCTACTGGGCATTTGATGGCGGCCTTTACTGTGCTCTCTATCTTCTGTTGCTGTTGTGGTTAGTTGCCGTTGAGTTGACTCTGACGCGTGGCAGCCTTATGGATAACAGAATGAAACATTGCCTGGTCTTGTGCCATCCTCATAATCACTGGTATGTTTGAGCCCAGTGTTGCAGCCACTGTGTCACTCCATTTCATGGAGGGTTTCCCACATTTTTGCTGACCCTCTACTTTACCAAACATGATGTCCTTTTCTAGCAATTGGTCTTTCCTGATGATGTGTCCAAAGTAAGCAAGACAATTTCTCGATTCTGTTACTATGTATTTAGGGCATGTTTCGAGAAATGAAACTCAAAAATCAAGTTGATCAAATTCCAGGGCAATATATTGTGAGTAAATGTAAACACACAGAACAGCAAATCAGAGATGGCCTAATCTGAAATACATAGCACAATATGCACCCTGGCTTCTGCCTATGACAGCACATCCTGACTTATAGAGGCTCTGGGTCCTCCCTGGGGTTGGCCTTAATGTTGGTGGAGCCAAGAGTTTGAAAGAGAACAAAGATGGTATCTTAGTTACCTAGTGCTGTTATAAAAGAAATACCATAAGTGGGTGGCTTGGACAAACAGAAGTCTATACTCTCACAGTTTAGGAGGCTAGAAGTCCAAATTCAGAGTGCTAGCTCCAGGGGAAAGTTTTCTCTCTCTGTCAGCTCTAGGGGAAGGTTCTTGTTATCAGTCTTCCCCTGTTTAGGAGAGTCTCAGCATAGGGACCCTGGGTCCAAAGGACACACTCCACTCCTGGCTTTTCTTGCTTGGTGGTAATGAGGTCCCTCACCTCTCTGCTTGCTTCTCTCTAGCTCAAAAGGGACTGGCTCAAGATATAACCTAATCCTGTAGATTGAGTCCTGACTCATTCAGGTAACTGCCTCTAATCCTGCCTGATTAACATCATAGAAGTTAGGATTTATAACACATCGGAAAATTACATCAGATCACAAAATGGAGGACAACCACACAATACTGAGAATTGTGGCCTAGCCAAGTTGACGCACATTTTTGAGCGACACAATTCAATCCATAACAGATGGGAATGGGGAGGTCAGGACATAAAGATGCAAGTTATTCCACTGAGACAAATATACTCACTCTTGTGTCCTAAGTGGGTCTGCCAGGTACGGGGCTTCAGGAAGAATCAGAGCCTTGGTGCTTTGCAACCTCTGTATCTCCAGCTCACATCTGTCTAATGGGGATAAAAAAATAAAACAACAGTTGCTGTTGTGTTTATTCCAGTTCTCATGGCAACCTCATGTGTGTCACAGTAGAACTGTGCTCCATGGGGTTTTCAATGACTGATATTTGGAAAGCAGATCACCAGGCCTTTCTTCTGAGGCACCTCTGGGTAGACCCGAACCACCAACCTTCTAGTTAGCAGTGAGGGTGTTAACTATTTGCCCCACCCAGATAAAGCCCCTCTTTCTCAGACTGTCTTGAGGTCCAGATGAAATAACCTATGTGAAGTGTCTGGCCCATTGTAGGCCTCCTTGTTTGGGGTAAGGCAATTTCATGGTGAGGTGCGAGAAACTGGAGGGAAGAATACGGAGGGAAGAAGCCCCAAGAGCTTCTCTGACCATCTCAGTAAGGACAGAGGGACGGCAAAGAATGCTAACAGATTTTAAGTTAACCTTCCCCTGCCTCTCCAATCAAACCATCCCATCAGGGGCCACGCAGCAAGAGAACTTTCTGGTGCTTTAATCCTCCTCTTAACTGTCATGGTAAAAGCATTGTGATTTCTTTAGAGTTAAAACTTACCTTTGGTAATCCTCTGTCTCTTTCCCTCCAAGATTAGGAATAAAACCCTCAAAGCAGAAAGCTCTAGTGCTGTTCAGAGGATCAGCGAGGTGGGTGGGACAAGGCTGGGCCCTGGTCTGAAGTTAGACCTGAGGGAGGAGAGGCACTAAGTTAGGTAAAGCTAAGAGGCTCAGCTCAAGAGAGGGGGTAAAACTCACCCTGAGGGAGAATTTAGGAGTTTAGAAAGCTGCTGTCCTAAATTCACAGTAAGCTGTGGATCATCTTTCAGGAGGTTAAAATCACCTCTTACTTAGCCTGGGGTTTAACTGTTGTCAGGTATTCTTCTTCCAACCCCCTCAACAGATGCCACACCAGAAGTGGTGAAAGCTAACAGGATTAAAATCAAGGACGTACGGAGGTAGTTGGGCTTTTGCAGAACTTTGAGGTTGGAAGCTTTTGCTTTCTTGGGGGCTTTTAGTGTACCTGCTGGCTTAACACAGGTGAACCCCATTGCTTCTGGCTCCTGCCCACCTCTCAGACCTTCTCACACTCAACCCCAGCCACAGAGGCCTTCTTTGGGGTCTTTGGAGAAGGAACACTCTCCTTTTACGCTTCAGAGCACTGGTTTCTCACCTCAGGTCTCATGTTACCTCCTTAGGAAGCAGCCTTCCCTGACCACCCAGCTACAAAAATGGAGCTTTCCAGTGTCTATTCCAGCAAGCTATGCTTCTTGGTACTCAATTAAAAAACAAACAAACACCGAACCCGCTGTAGTTGAGTCGATTCCGACTCATAGCCGCCCTATAGGACAGAGTAGAACTGCCCCACGTAGTTTCCAAGGAGTGCCTGGTGGATTTGAATTGCCGACCTTTTGGTTAGCGGCCGTAACTCATAACCACTATGCCACCAGGGTTTCCTGGTACTCAATGGTACTTTGTAATTATTTATTTACTTGTTTCTTGTTTGTTGTCCCACAAAATACTATAAGCTCCCGGAGAAAGACAGTTCCCAGTTGTCTCCTGTCATGCCTGGCACACAGTTGTTGTTGTGTGTTGTCAAGTTGATTCTGACTCATAGCAACCCCACAGGACAGAGCAGAACTGCCCCATAGGGTTTCCAAAGCTGTAATCTTTATGGAAAAGCAGACTGCCTCATCTTTCTCCTGCTGAGTGGCTGGTAGGTTCAAACTGTTGACCTTTTGGTTAGCAGCCGGGTGCTTAAGCCCTGCGCCGCGAGGGCTCCTTTTCCGACGCAGACTCATAGCGACCCTATAAGAAACGGTAGAACTGCCGATAGGGTTTCCTAGGCTGAAATCTTTACCGGAGCAGATGGCCAGGATTTTTCTGCCATGGAGACACTGGTGGTTCCAAACTGACCTTTGGGTTAGCAGCCAAGCGTTTAACCATTGTGCCACCAGGGCTCGTTTGGACAGAGTAAGGGCTAATGAATATTTGTGGAATGGATATGGGGTGGATCCACAGTCACCTGAGATGTCCCACAGTGCAGGTTAAGGAGCCTCAACAGACCCTTTGGGCAGGACTTTACAGATACTGGCTTCCAGGAACCAACCAGGCAAGGACTACTCAGCCTAACATTTTTAGGGTGGCAGATCTCCTTTGATATTTGATAAAACCGACAGACTCTCTTTCCCCACACAAGGTAATATTACTCCAAAACTCTGCTTACAACCTGGGAGTTTGCAGACTCCTAGAACCCCAAGTAAAAACCCCATGATTTAAGAAAAATCTAGAGGACAAGGAGAAGAGTTGGAAAAGCAAGCCTCCATCCAAAAACGTCTTAGGCGAGGCCTCTTAAAATGGGCACTGTTTAAAATGACCTGTGTCCTTGGATTGCAAATATTATTAAAGAAAAAAAAAAAAGATGAAATGAGGGTGGGCAGAAATTGTTTCTAGTTCGCTCTGCCAACCATTCCTTCCCTTCCTCCCTCCCTCTTTCCTTCTGCTTTTTTTTTTTTTTTTTTACGTGTTAGCCTCTGATATTTTCCTATGAGAAAGGGAAATGTTTTGGCCAGGTCTGATAAATGTTTGTGGAATGAATGAATGACACACTAGAGCAATCAGAAAAGCAGCCCCCTCGGGTGCTCCCCCTTAGGGGCTTCCTAGCTCTCTTGCCTGCCTGGGCCTCCCCAGAAGCTGCAGACGAGGCCCCGCTGCAGAGGCAGGCGCACTGGTGCATTCTGACCTGCTGCAGCCAGCGCGGCGCTGGGCAGGGAGAGCTGAGGCCAGTGGGGGATGGTAGGAGGAGAGGAGGGAGAAGGGAGGAGGGGGGAGAGAGGAGGACTCTGGCAGGCGGGAGAAGAGCGAGAAGGAGGGAGGAGGGCAAGGGGAGGTGTGAAGAAGGCAAGGAAGAGAAGAATGGAGGGAGGAGACCTACAGAATCAAAGCCCCTTTCCAAATTTACAATCCCTGACAGGGACAGATTACCCAGTAAACAAGGTAAGCATGGGCTTTGTAGTGGCCAATTTCACATGGGTTTCACCACATCTTTGTGTTTATTTACTAATCTGTAGTGACCAATTTCACATGGGTTTCATCACATCAAAGATGAAACCGCGTGTGAAACTGGTCACTACAGATTAGTAAATAACCACAAGTAAGCCATTGTTTACCTTGCTTCCTGGGTAATCCGCCCCTGAGGAGGGAGAGGGGAGGAGGGAGGGAGGCGAGGGGGAGACGAGAGGGAGGAGGGAACGGAGGGAAGACAAGAAAGAAAGGATGAGAGGGGAGGAGAGGGAGAAGGCGGCAGGTAGGAAGAGGAAGGGGGTGGGGAACAAAAATCGGAGGAGCAGGAGGGCGGGGAGCCGCGGGGAGGAGTCTGCAAACTTTCCGCCCGAGGGCATTGTGGGAAGCAGCCATGGTCTGAGGCCGGCGCTCACCTGTCCGCCGCGCCGGCGCCCGCGCTCCGCTTTCGCCCTTGCGTCCCCGCGCTCTCCGCTCGCCGGGTCGGCGCGGCCGGGCCACCATGGTGAGTGCGGCGGGCAGGCGGGCAGGTGGGCGGGCGGACAGCGGCGGCGCAGGCGAGGGAGTGCGCGCCTCGGGGAGGCACCTGCGGCGCTCGGCCGGGTGGGGTGCGGACCGCGCCCCTCCGCGCTCGGGTCCCCCGGACCGCAGGCATGCCGGGAAGGTGCGGGCGCGCGGGAGCAAGAAAGGCCCCTGCCCGGGTCCGGTGGACACCCGGCGCCGCGGCTTCATTCATTCATTCATTCATTCAGCCAGTGGTTGCTGAGCGCGTAGTCTGTGCCAGGCACGATTCCAGGCGGTGGGATGTCGCGGTAGCCCTGGTAGAATCCTTGCTGCCCTGGACCTTATAGCCTAGGAGGAAGATGTGGAGGGAGGGAGGCCTGTAAACATACGAGTGAAATAAAGATAGCTTTCGAGAGTCAGGAGTGCCCTAAAGTCTCAGATACCACGGGGTGATGGGATGGAAGAGTGGAGAGGCAACTCCTAGAGATTGGGAATTCAGCGAAGGCTTCTTTCAGGAGGTGACATTTGAGCCGTCGGAGGGAAGTCCGAGAGGGGCGCTGCCGGTCGAGGGAGAAGCGAGAGCAAAGGCCTGAGAGAGAGGAGCTTGTAGGGGGAGAAGTAGGCAGGGACCAGATTATGGAGGACCTTGTAAGTGTGGATAAAGAGTTGGTTTTATTCCATCTGCGTGGGGAGCCTTGGGAGGATTTTATTGAGAGAACTGAACTTATTTGTTCTATACTTTAAAAAGATCCCTTTGGTTGCCGGTGGGTTGTGTGTATGTGTGTTTGGGGGGTTGGGAGGGGGAATCAAGGTGCAAGCAGGAAGAGTAGTCCCACTTCCCCAGATGAGCTCACTTCCCAAATCCCAGGAACAGAAGTGACCTGCGTTCTGTGGCCCACAACATTCAGGAGCAGGTGGGCAATGTGGGTTATGAGTGGATGGGCAAGGAAAATGGTGGTGTGCTGGGCACCTGGACAAGAAGACCACGGAAGCTGGGTTCTAGGTGAGGCTTGGCTGGGCACCATTGTTTGCTGAGGGTTCCCTGTAAATACAGCGTGAGGCAAAACGGAGACTGTAAATAATGGAGCAGCTCTTTTGGCTTGCTCAGGTTTCCCAAGGAACCAGATGATGGTGTGCCCAGCTTGCCAGTGTCATTTGCCTAATGGGAGGTGGAAAAAGGCCCCGAGTTTCTGAGTTGGCAGTAGGCAGCTTCCATCCTGTGGGCATCAAGCCCTAGACAGCACCTGCTGTGGAGTCTTCTTTTTTCTTGCTGGTGCCGTAAATCAGTTGATCAGAAATGTGCAAAGTTTCTTTTGCTTTTCCACTGGGCCTTGCTGAACGGGAATTATAAATGTTATCGAGCACTTGTGATAAGTCAAAAGGATGCTCAGCTCTTTTATGTTCATTACTTCATTCAATCCTTGCAACATCCAGATGAGGTTAAGTATTATTCTCCCTACATTTTGCCTGCACTGACCTGTTCTAGCAAGGTGACCTTGGACAGTTCCTGGAACTCTCTATGCCTCAGTTTGCTCCTTTTGTAAAATGGGGATGAGAATTGTTCCTAATTCAGAAGGCAGTGGTTCTGAAAGTATGGCCTATGGACTCCTAGGAATCCTCAAGACCATTCAGGAAGTCCCCAAGGTCAAAACTGTTTTCATAATAGCACTAACACATTATTGCCTCTTTCACTTTTATTCTCACCTGAGTGTACTGAGTATGCCTGAGGGTTTTTGATGCTGCACTACCTGGGATTGTACAGCAGATTGAATGCAGAAGCCAATAGGAGAATCCAGCTGTCTTTTACTAAGCCAGACATTAAAGAGATATGTAAAAACGTCAGTGCCCTGCTATTTTTTTTTTTTTTTTTTGCTTTGGAAAAGTAGTGTTCTTAAAAATGTTATTTAGGTTCATGTGTAATAGATATATTACTTAGAAATGAGTTAGTACATATTTAAAAATTTTGTCCATTTTAATTTTTAATACAGTAAATATCAATGACTATAACCCACATAAACAAAAGGACTTTGGTGTCCTCAGTTTTGAAGAGCATAAAGGAGTCCAAAGGAGCCCTGGTGGCGCACTGCTTACAGCTCTCGACTGCTAACCAAAAGGTCAGTGGTTGGAACCCACCAGCCTCTCTGTGGGAGAAAGATGTGGCAGTCTGCCTCTGTAAAGATTACAGCCTTGGAAACCCTATGGGGCCGTTCTACCTTGTCCTATACAGTCTCCATAAGTCCGAATTGACTAGATGGCACACAACAGCAAAGGAGTCCAAAACGTTTGAGAATTACTGTTACGGAGTTGTAACAGGTTGTGTGAGTTAATAAGCTTTGCCCCTTTTAAGTGTTCAGTTATTATTACCTGTCCTCTTTATTGCTGTCATGTGATAGAAAGAATACGAGTCCTACTTGCTTGCCCAGCAACTTGGGGGTCTTTGGTGAGGGCCGCTAGTGACTCCGCATCTTTTCTCCTCTCTGTTCCTGACTCTTGCCAAACCTTACCCTAGGAAACTGGAAGCATGGATACAACATTCCACATGGTGCTCTACACACAGGGCATAGTTCTTGAGTTCATTGTGGCCCTGATCCAGGTGTCTAGTGCAGATTTCATACCTTGTGTGTCTTGTGGCTGTGCTTGTATCTGCACGGTAGTTTGAATCAACTGTGTACTTCTCCATCCTGCCTTTGGTTTAGAAATCTCTGCTTTGGAAAGCAGTGCTTCGGGTTATTGTGCTTCAGGGATGTCCACTGCTCTGAGCCCAGTGTGCTTAAACTTACTGGAAGAATTTACTATTAAATGGTTGACAGTTGATGGAAGATGGAGGGTGGGCATCCCCCCCTACCCCGCCCCCCACCCCAGAAGATAGCTGTGAGGACTTATAGGGTGAATTTTGAAAGGCTTTGGGGACACTTACAATAAAAATGCAAGTGGATTTTGCTTTATGCAGTCCATGTGCTTCTGAAAATTTGAGGTAACTTTTAAAACCATATTGTGAACAAAATAGGGAAGTTACCCATGGAAAGAAACTCAAATGATGACTGCTTTTAAAATTGGAATACTCATCTTCTTGTGTTGCAAAAATCCACTTCTCATCATATATATTCCTATGTAAAGTGGGATGGACTTACGCTAAAAAAAAAATCAAAGATATTTTGGTGTCATTTTAAATCTGAGTCTAGAGAAAGAGAACTTACCAGACTGAGCTATGTATTATCAGAGTTTGTATTAACTTGAAACAGCCTGAGTACATGTGTCTCCTAAATCAGGTAATTTAAAGTTTCCCATGTTAATTGTAACCTCATTGTATTAAATCTAAATAGAAAAGGTGCAAAAATGTCTCCTCTAAATGATTTAAAGTTTGCAGGGTGAGGTGGGATCCTGCTTCCATGTACCCCATCTCCCATGCAAAATATCAAGCCTATTGTCTGAGGCTTAAAAGAATTCTAATAAGTATGTACTAGTTGTTGGCAGTTTATATTCCAATTGAAAGGTGAACTAGAGTCACAAGCTCTTTCCCCCTCTGAGGCTTGAGTGCTGCTTGCTAGCGCCTAGTGTGGAGTACAGGGGGTTGGGAATGGGAGTTGGAAATGGCCAAACCCTTCTTGGTGTTCCGTTTTCTGAAAAGAGTTCACCCACAGCGGCACTCCTCATAGATCTCGAAACAGCACTAGAGAGACTGGTATTTGATCCCTGCTAGGACTCTTAAGGAAACCCTGGTGGTGTAGTGGTTAAGAGCTGCGGCCCCTAACCAAAAGGTCGGTAGTTCAAATCCACCAGGCGCTCCTTGGAAACCCTATGGGGCAGTCTACCCTGCCCTAGAGGGTCGCTATGGGTTGGCATTGACTCAACGGCAACTGGTTTGGTTTTTTGGTTTTTAGGACTGTTAAGGAGCCCTGATGGCACAATAGTTAAGTGCTCATCTTCTAACCGAAAAGTTAGCAGTTCGAACCCATCCAGCAGCTCCGTAGGAGAAAGACCTGGTGATCTGCTCCCATAAAGATTACAGCCTAGAAAACCCCATCAGCAAGTTCTTCTCTGTCACTTGCTGTCAATATGAGTTGAAATCGACTCAAGGGCAACAATAAGATACTTCTGAGTTCCCATTATTCATTTTCCTAGACAGTACTGTCAACTGCTTACAGTTTTTACATGATGTCTTGCTAATAACAGTTGGAAGGAAACAGCAGCCTGCATATTTCCCACACTGTATTTTCAAGGTCTATTCTTTCAGTCCCATGAATTACTTCCCTATGGACTAAGATATAATATGAATAAAACTATCCCCCCACCCCTGTACACACACGTAAAGAAAACCCTTTAATAGTCTCCAAAGTTAGCATGTCTTGACGTCTCCGTGAATCAGTCTTTAAATTTTATTTTGTTACTATAACCAGACGTTCTCCCAGAGATCCTGCAGTGTCATTGCTCTTGTTCCCCTGGGGCCTGTCTTTCTTGCTTCTCTCATACTCCCCCTATCTTGTTCTTGTTCTTCCCTGACACCTCTTTCTGAGTCTGTTTTTCTTAAAGTAACCTAGCTGTTTACCCAGCAGAAATTCCCTTTAAGCCACTTGAAGCTCCCTGATCCTGTGAGGTGAAAGAAAGTTCACAGATAATAGAGGCAAATGTCCATAAAATTCTCTCATTGGTATACTGAACTGTCTTAGTACCCTCGCTGGAGAAGTGTACTTCTTGGGTGGCTGCTAATCATAGGTTAATTGATGGTTTTAATAGTGGAAAGGGGATCCCGAAAGTCGTTTGGGTTAGAAGTGGAGTGCCATTGACCATTATGGGGAATCTGCCCTTCAGAAAATAATTTCTCTCTGTCAAAGTTTTGAAGTCTGAAAACCTTTTGAAAGGTAGAGATGGTTTCTTCACTAGCTGTCTCTAAAAAGTTTCTGAAAACCACGAGGGAGAAAAATCTGATGATCATTCATTAGAGTCTCAGTGCGATGGGGCATAGGCCTAAAGTGCATTCAGAGAAGAATAAGGGCAATAGGG